CGCGACGACACACACACACACACACACACACACACACACACACACACACACACACACACACACACACACACACACACACGCCGTGTAGTATGCACCTGTCCCTCCTCTCATCCCCACCCCCATTCCGCCCGCGTCCATCCGTGCAGGTGATGGATGAGCTGGTGCCACGGGAGACGGGTCGCGATGCGCGGATCAGCAAACGAAAGGGCGCAAACGAAGCAAGACGCGCGCGGGCCGTCAGTCCAGACCCCGACGACGCCACGCTCATGGGTAACGACCAGTTCAAGGCATACATGCAGCGCCGCAAGTACCAGCAGGAGAGGGAGAGGTGAGACACCGACCGTCATGCATGTGTGTGTGTATGTGTTTGCATGTGTTTACATGTGTGCATGTACATATGTGTGTATGCGTGTGTGCGGCTGGAGGAAAGGGATGGGTGTTGAGAAAGTGTAATGGAGACTGTGAGATCCCACGCATGAGCATCATGGGTGGCTGTGTTGCACTTGCATGCGATACGCGCTGTGCGTTTGTCTGTGCATTCTCGCGCACGCAAACACACACATTCATTCATTCACTCACACACACACACACTCACACACACACTCACACACACACTCTCACACACACACACACGCACGCACACACACACACACACACACACACACACACTCTCTCTCTCTCTCTCTCTCTCTCTCTTCCTCGTCACTCACGCAAACTCGCATCTGGCAGGTCGAAGCGCAAGGAAAAAGCCATGGCCCGCGTCAGCCAACACGAGCAAGAGTACGAGCACACACACACATGTTGTTGTGCGTGTACAGTCGTTGCTCACATGCTCAAAACATGCGGAAGGTTCTCTGCTCTCCACTTACACGGTTCCCACATTGCGAAATGGACCATCTGTCCCCCGCCCCTTCTCACACGTCATCATCATCATCATCATCATCATCATCATCATCATCATCATCATCATCATCATCATCATCATCATCATCATCATCATCATCATCATCATCATCATCATCATCATCATCATCATCATCATCATCATCATCATCATCATCATCATCATCATCATCATCATCATCATCATCATCATCATCATCATCATCATCATCATCATCATCATCATCATCATCATCATCATCATCATCATCATCATCATCTCGTGTCGTGTGCGCAGGGAGAAAGCGAAGATGTCTGCACTGCTGGAGATGGCAAGAGCGTCCAAGCACGCAAACGCGCTATGGAAGTCGTAGGGGCTCGTGCTTGTTTGCTTGCGTGTGTGTGTGATCATTCGAGTACAGCAGCTGCTCCATTCGTGAGAGTGAGGCTTGGAAGGAACAATAGATTGTGCTGCTGCTGGGGGCAAACACACACAGACACATACAGACACACACACACACACACACAGACAAACGCAGACACAGACACACAGGCACACAGACACACACACACACAGACACACACACACACACACACACACACACACACACACACACACACACACACATACACACACACACACACACACACACAAAACTGCTTGGTGATCATTCGGTGCAATTATTTTGGGTGCCTCCCGCGACCGTTTCGAAAAACAACAACGAAGATGGGCGACGCGAGTGGTGGCAGGGAGGGTGCAAGGAACAGCGTTGGTAGCAGCAGTGCAAGCATAACAGTGGCACAACACTTGCGATACCTCCAACAACGTGAGTTGCATGCGACGAATGCCAAAGGCACATGTGTGCGTTTGTATGTGTTAGTGTGTGGTGAAGCGTACTGCGCCGTCGGTCTTGCCTTTGCCTGCCCACTTTGGCGTTTTTTCACGCACGCCACCACGAACGCCACCAATCTCATTTGTTGTTTGTCTTTTGGTGTGCAGATCCATCGTCGCCGAGCAACAAAGATGCGGTCTTGCATGCCATTCAAGGGTTGGAAAGCACTGCCAAGGAGCAAGGGCTGGACAATGACCACCTCATGGATATGGTGGCAATCATCACATCAGGCACACACTGTAAGTCGCGCCGTCACGGCTACAAGCGACACAGCCACCACCCCGGATCATGCTCATGGCTCCACGTTCAGGCTAATGCAGCTTGAGTTGGGCTCACCCATGAACGCGTATTCGTGTGTGCTTGCAGCTGTGCCGCTGCACTTTCAGATGCCTCCTGCTCACACTGCACTTGCCTTTGCTTTGTGCTTGTGCGCCGCAACTACAGATGTCGGGCTCACGCGCCGGCTCATTCGAGCCATGATCCCGAAGAAGCAGGTGGAGTCACGGGTGGTTGTGCGCCTCGTCTCCCGCTTCAGCCACCCGCTCCTGCCACGCAGCCTCCAGGTGTGAGCAAGCGTACACGTCTGTGTATTTCCGTGATGTGATGTTGTGTGTGTATACGCGTGTGTACGCGTGTGTATGTGTGTGTGTATGTACGCTTGTGTACGTGTGTGTACATGAGTGAGTGTGTCTGTGGGTATTTGGCACAATGTCTACGCTGTTATCGCTGTAGTTGTTTTCGCTGCCACTATTCGTACTATCCTTTCTTCGTGTCTCACCCTGTCATTGGGGCCCATCTCACCATGCAACCCCTGGCATGCAGCCCATGCTACTACAATGGCTGTTGGCGGTGTATGAGCTGGTGGACGACCAGCGCCCACTCCATAAGCTGTATGGCGTCCTCTTCTACTGGCTCGACTACGCCTCCTTGGTGCGGTCTCATGTTTAATGTCCGTGGTGACAGCATGTCTCATGCCAACATTGCGAGCTTGTGGTGTGTGCTGTGTGCGCGTGCGTGCGTGTGTGTGTGTGTGTGTGTGTGTGTGTGCCTGCCTCTGTGTGTGTGTGTCAAAATGTGCTGGCCTGTTTGGTGCTTGCAAAGCTTGTGTATGTACATGCTGTGTGCTTGCGCGCATGCATACACTAATGATTGCTTTCAATGGCTCACGATGGTAATAAATGACCGCGCGTGTTGTTGCATGGCATTCATTGCAGCTGCCACACCTCTGCCATCTCCTGTATCGCCTCACAGAGAAGAAGGACGGTGCGTGCGCTTTGGAGAACAAGAGAAGGGGCGTTCGGGGCCATGAATCTCTCGTGGCCGTTGACTGCTGCAGCGCACCGTGTCGCATGTTTACACTCACGCCTGTGTTGTGTGTGTGTGTGTTTGTTTGTTTGTTTGTTGTGCGTGCGTGTGTCTGTGTGCTTGCGTATGTATGTGTGTCTGTGTACTTGTGTATGAATGTGTATCTGTGTACTTGTGTGTGCGTATGTCTGGATCTGTGTGCTTGTGCGCGTTCGCGCGTGTGTGTGTACTGTACTGTACTGTTGACAGTGCAACCATTCCGGATTCGTCGCCTCATGCGGCTGCAACAACATTTGGTCAGCATCACCGTACACCGGCACACGCTCGGCTCCAATGCCACCCCACATGCTCCATCGCTTCTTGTACCACTGCCTCGCGCTGCTCCCTTGTTGTTTCACATGTCTATGCTGTCGCCGCCCACCACTTGGTATCGACGGTCATACGCTCATCATCACTGTTCCCCTCAACATCACCTCATCATCACCTCACCATCACCTCATCGTCAACCATCACCACAACCAACTCCATCCCTCCCTTCCTTCCCCTCCGCCAGGGCCCGGAGCCGTGCCTGACTGCGCTGCTGTCGTGCTACAAGCTCTTCCAGCCCGCCATGGTCACGCTCGTCGTGCGCCAAACGTCGCGAAAGGTTCCAGTGATGCGTTGCTGGCTGGTGACTCACGTGGCCGGGTGCTCCTGTGGTGCTTGGACGTGTAGTACGCTTTGTTTTCGTGATGTTTTTGCACGCACATGCACAGTTGCACAACTTGCATGAGCACAATCGCACACACACACACATACACACACACACGCACGCATGCACGCACACACACACACACACACACATACACACACACACACACACACGCACGCACGCATGCACGCACACACACACACACACACACACACACACACACACACGATATCGCGCATCCACATTGTGCCCTACAGCGGTGGTTCCCTGCGCTCGACAAAGAGATGGTGAACGACATTGCGCGCGTGCAGCGACGCAACAGCACCGGTGTTCATGACATTCACGCAGACGACGCTGTCGACGTGTCCACGGTACGCGACCGAGCGGATGGTGCTTGCCTTAGTGGCGGTGATGGCATTTGTGGCGTGGAAGATGGGTTGATGTTGCTCGGCACACCATGTCCTGAATTGAAGCTGACATGCAAATCGTCCAACTCATGCACCATGACAACATGTGTCACCCGCAACAACACTGACCACCACCACCACCAACACGCATCAATCACCACCACCACCACCGGCTGCAGTTGCTGGCGCGGCGCCGTCACGCTGTGCCGCAGCTCAAGGCCGCAATGGACATTTTCCACCAGCGCCACTTGTCTGACGGGCACGATCCCACACGACGTCTGCGCGCTGTTGCCGCTGGTGAATCCGAACACATTCTCAGGCGCGCGGCTGCTGCTGATGTTGCACCCCATATTGGCAGACTGGCGGTGCGTTGGCCTGGGCCGTGGACGTGGGATGACGGCAGTTGTGATGGGTGGCTTGGTATTGCGAGGGTGCGCGGTGGTGTGGCGTGACATGTTGCTGTTGTTGTGTGCCATGTTGTGACTGTTGTTGTTGTTATTGTGCTGCACAAGTGCTGAGCAAAGCTGAGGTGCCTGGAACATGCATGCGTTCGTTTGCGCTTGCCGTGTCTTGTGCGACTATCCAATTCACACCACACGTGGGTGCTCGCAACCTCCACCTCCACCTCCGCCTCCACAGCTCCCGGCGCAAGTTGCTGCTGTGCTGACGACGCGAAACCTGCAGCACGTGCTGTCTGCTTCGTCGTCCCCTGAACTCATTCAGCGGCTCTCGTATTGGCTCTTTGCCCAGTTTGCAGACGGTAAGCCACCTCATCGACATGTGCTGATGGTCGTGGGTGTGATCTCGGAACGTGATATGGTGTGATGGAGCGGTTGCACCTGTGCAGCACGTAATTGTTTGGTTTGTCCCTTCATCGTCCCTTCACGCGTGTGCCTTGACTCGCTCATACGTGTGTGTGTATGTGTGCATATGTGTGTGCGTATGTGTGTGTGTGTGCGCGCGTGTGTGTCGATGGATGCAAAATGGTGCGCGCATGCTCACGTGTATGTGATGCGCGCGTGCAGGGGAGAAGCACATGCTGAAGTATTCGCGATACTTTGATCAACTGTTGACCGCGACGGCCGAGTTTGCAGCCTTTCTGCAGGTGACATTGCAGGAGAACGGAGGGCACAGCGTGCATGTGTGCGTGTGCACGTGTGTGTGTGTGTGCGTGTATGTGCGCGCGTGTGTGTGTGTCAGTCACTTGGGGAGATGATGACGTCGTAGTAGACAGCTTTTCATTGACATATGTACACACACACGTGCACACACACACACGTGCACACACACACACACACACACACACACACACACACACACGTGCACACACACACACACACACACACACACACACACACACACACACACACACACACACACACACACACACGTGCACACACACAGGAGACGCCGCCTGCTGTTGAGGATTTTCTCGAGCGGGCGCTGCTGCAGTGGAACGGCGACCACTACCAATCTTCCATCCTCACCCTCATCGCAACAGCCGTGCCCCGTCCATACGAAGGTGCCAGCCAGGGTGGTGATGATGACTGTGTTGTCGGTGCTGCTGTATCGTGTGCATCTCCATTAGCTTGGTGCTGTTTATTTGTTACCGCCTTCATGCACACACTTACTCACGCCCGCGCATCTGTATCATTCCAACTCCCTCCTGAACGTGTTTGCGTGTTCTCACCTTCATCTCTTCAGATCTGTACCCCGCGTTTCTGCAACCGTTGTCGTCCATCGCCATGTTTGCGCCCGTTTCGCTCCTATGCCGCCTGCTTGACTGCTATCGCGCTGTGACAGAGACATACACGCGCTTCCCCTGGGCAAACGCGAGCACCGCACACAAGCGGAGGTGCGCCATGCTCGTGTTGTTGGTGTTGTGTCTGTGGTGCATTCTGCAACGCGCATGCTTGCGTGATGGGAGGCTGTGAACTGATACTCAAGGTTTTCGGACACACACACACACACACAACCACACACACACACACAACCATACCGAAACACACACACACACACACACACACACATACAACCATACCGAAACACCCCCACACACACGCACACAACACCACCTGGTAGGTTTGTTTTCCACGAACCTCCGCCCGCTGGGGACCACCACGCGACCATTGAGCAGCTGCTCGCGTTTGTCGATGCACAGTGCGAGCTGGCGTTGCAGCGGTGGCCCGGAAACGAAGTGCTGGAGCACCACGTCTTTGCCATTTACGAAAGCCTCGGACAGTGAGTTGTGACACGTGTGTGTGTGTGTGTGTGTGTGTGTGTGTGTGTGTGTGTGTGTGCTGGCAAAGGTGTCCATGACATTTTCACGCTCCTTGCCGTGTGCTCGATGCCAAGCTTTCAAGCTCATTACTTGTCCTTTCCCTCTTGCATCGCACCGCATTCCCTGTCTCCATACTCCACCCCCGTCACCCATCCACCACCACTCACCATGAACATCACACACACACACAGCGCGTGCCGCGTGCGAGGCCTGCCCATCGTGTGCATCCCACCGCCGGGCGTTGTCTTTGATCTCCTCTCGTCCTCGTCCGCCTTTGCGCTCTCCCGTGTTGGCGGCATTCTTGCAACGTGGGTTGATTGTACGCGCGCGCGCGCGCGTGTGTGTGTGTGTGTGAGTATGTGTGTTTGGACTTGCACGTGCCGATGTCGTGAACGCGTGTCAACGCAGAAGTTCATGGGATGTTCCCATTGCGTGGAAGCAAGCGATGTTGTTTGCTCGTTCACAGTTGTTGACGTTTTCCTCACCTCCTCCCCGCCCCTCACCCTTTCTGTCCGTAATCACCACCACCAACACTATCATTGGCAACACCGCCGTCATTGCTGTTGCCGCGAGCAGCACGAGGGATGACTACAAGCACCATTGCGACGAGGTCAAGCCACAGCTCGACACGCCACCACCGATCCCCCACCTCGACCTCTTCAACTGGTGTGTGTGTGTGCTATTTGTGTTACTGCTGCGCGCATGCTGGGGTGTATCGTATATCTGTAGTTATGTTGTGTGCGCGTGGTATGATCACGTATTCAAATATGTTAACATGTGTTGTTGCTACACCGTCACCTTCTTGAACTGCGCATGTGCACCAGCTACATCATCGACATTATCAACATGGTCTGGCGCAGCAGCGTGTTTGGAAAGTCAAGAGACACAACCATCCTCTTCGACGATATCCAGTGCGTGTGTATGTGAGTGAGTGAGCGAGCAACTGTGAGTACGCTGATATCTGTATGAGAAGGCGTGTCATCGCAATAGCGCTACAGTTTGTGGTTGGGATGTCAATACCACTACGTTTTTCCCTCGAACATAGTGCTTACTCTCACCCCACCCAACGCAAACATACACACACACACACACACACACTCTCTCTCTCTCTCTCTCCTCGCACTCACCCTCCCTTCCTCTTTCACACAGGGAGGGTGAGCGGCAGTCGCTGAGTCACACGTCGTCACCGAAGAAACGCGCGCACATTCGCCAGCGCTTTCGATCGCGCATCGAGACGTGCATTCACGCAAATCTTGCGCTACAAGCTCCGACCGTCCACGCGCTCTCCCTCGCCTACGTACGTGCGCATGTGTTCACCCTTCTCTTTCATGCTGTGGTTGTGAGTGTGTGTGTGTGCGAGTGTGTGTTGTGTTGTGTGATGCCACGCGCACCTTGGCCTTAAGCCGTTACAATGAAAAGATCATAGCCCTCAACCCCACCCCCTCCTCCACTGGTCTTGTGTCCACAGAGCACGTGGTGTGCTGGATACTCGCACGCGTTTCTTGAGAGCGACAGCACGCCGGCACACAAGCTCAACCCTACAACAGCACAGGTACATGCATGGCTGCGCGCGCGCGCGCGTGTGTGTGTATGTGTGCGTGAATTTGCGTGTTCCATTCGCTTACTCTGTTCCCCTCCGTCAACCAACACCTTGTGGTGACAGGAGCGAAAGATTGAACTGTGGCAATTTCTTCGCGACAAGTGCGCGCTGGTACGTGCATGTGTTCGTGTGCTGTTTGCTGGTTTTGGTACCTGCATATGTGCAGGCACGAATACGTTCATGTGCTGTCTCCGCCCGGCTTCTCGGCCGTCTTTATATGCGAGGCTGTGTGATTCACAAATCAACCCCGCCACATACGCACACATCATATGACAGGATGGGCTTGCGCGGTTCCTGATTTCGTCCATTCCCAGATTGAAATCAAGGGAATGATTGTTGTTGTCGCGCGCTGACTGTGCAGCTGCCTTGTATTCGCGCAACCCGCACGCACGCATGCCTGTCATGTCACACGGGACGAAGAACAATGCTTCCGTTTCTGTGAAAACCACTTGAGAGTCGTTGTATTGTGTTGTGTTCAACGCATCCATGTGTCAGTTTCTTCCGTTACTTCTTCG